TCCTCGAAAAGATTGTACAAAACAAAAGTCTGGTCGATCAATCAGACTTATATTCATCTACAGTTCAATCGACGACAGATATTGATGTATCAGATGAAGAAATGAAAATGAAACTACAACACTTATTCACCATAACAACCAATTCTGGATTTAAGTTTACATCTGGCATGATCTCAATAATCAAAATGCATTTGGTATCGATGGACTGTCCGATTTGCATTGAATTTGAAGATAAAATTTGGGTTGCAGTTGATGATTTAGAGAAAGGGAACAAAGCAAAAGCTAGGATCGAACAGATTAAATTCAAAATATTAGATGAATATGACGACGATTTTCAAGTTGAAGTTGTAATGGAGTCGATCCAAAAAAGTCCACCAAAAGTTACAAAAATTCTGGCAAATAAATTGATGAATCCAAAAACAAGCGTTAATAATGTATACTTGAATTGTGATGTTTACCCATTAGGGCACTTCAACTATAGTTACAGAAAAGCAGTTGGAATGTCAATAAGCCGATATTGCCAGTTAAATGTATGAAAAATATTAGAATCATATCCAATAAAATAAAGTTTTGTACAATTTTACCCAATGCAATTAGTCCCAAGTAGTCCAACAGAAGTTGCTAAAATGCTGGTGATGGTGATTTAATCAGTACTAAGTGATTCAGCAAACGTTGTTAGTATGTTTGCAAATAAATGTTTTTACAATTACAATTTAATTCAATCTAATTTATTAAAACTTTTAACTCAAATTCTGAAAAAATCAATATTAAGCATTCAATATAGTAAGTCATATATTGTATCGAGCCATCTCAATCAGGAATTTTTACAAAAGATGAACATTCTGTATCTAAAAACAAATTAAAAAGCGAAATATGTGGCTGTAGAGTAGAGTGTGAATTATAGAGTGTAAATGAACTTCTCGATTGTGGTTTATTTTTCGTGGCACAAACCGCTATTACATTTTTACAATTAGGGAAATCTAGCGCTTTCACACTCTCAATTTACGCGCCTTTATTAAGATCAATAAATTAAGCAATAAATCTTATAATTATTAATAGTTAAATGGCTAAGCCCTGTGCTGTGTTTTAGAATATTCAGAATTGATATTATAGAATGACAATTCATTGCTTCCATTGTGCATCTAATTAATTCACTATAACTTCAGCTGATATTAAAATATTGGATTGAATGAGAAGATTCATTAATCTTTGGTTTCCCTGTTATTTGTATACTTTTTCAAGTGCTGTCATCTATGTGAACAACAATTAAATTTTCATTTTGTTCAATTAGTCACATCTAGTGTTTTCCCTCTGCAGATGAGATTGTCAGAGTATCTGTTATGACTTATAAGAAGCAACGAAAGAGTTGTTTTTCAATTTAAGCCTCTTCTTTCATCTATAAAAATTAAATAAGTAGTGATATTTTAATCAAATATAGCTGCAATGGCTAAACCTTGTGCTGTGTTTTGGGATATGCAAAATATTCCTGTGCCGAAAGGAAAATCAGTTGATTTCATTGTGGACCTGGTTCGATCAGCTATTATAAAACCTTACAATTTAGATGAAATCTTTTTCTTTTGTGTTTGTGATGTTCATAAATTACCTGCAAATATTGGCCATTTATTAACGAATCTCGATTTTCAAGCTCACAATGGAATCAAAAATTCAGCTAGTATCAAAATAATGGATTTGATGAAAAAATTTGTCGCATTTGCTGGACAAGATTGTACAATTATATTGTTAAGTGGTGAAGCTGCATATTATGATGCTTTGAGTAATCTAAAGAAACTTCATAATGTATCGATTCATCTTATTGGATTAGCTAATTCATTTTCACCTAAACTGGTTCAAATAGCTGACAACACATTCATATTGAATAATGGTGTACTAAAGCCGATCAAATCAACTGGTTCTCCATCGTATTTCATATCAGTCAAAAACTATCCTTCGTCAATAAGTATCAAACAAGTGATGGGTGAGCTGAATGGTCTTGCCATTGGAAGTATTGGAAACAGTGCCATTCTCTACGATTGTTTGATTTGCATCGGATTTCCTACTTTGTTCAATGCTGAAAAAGCCGTTGAAAAATTGAATGGATCTGAATATCATGGAAACATTTTAAAAGTTGATTTGATACCAGATTCACCTTTAGATGAAATTTTGCAATATATTGATCCTAGTGTTACTGTGCAAGCTAAAAGTAATAACGAAGTGAAACAATTAACATTCATCGAGATGAAAAACTCAAATGAAGCAGTCGATATTGGCAAAATTATTAAGTTTTGTATCGCTTGTACTTCACAATCAGGCAGTCAATGTATTTTATCAAAAGAATCATATCTTTGGATTGTCTTTTCATGCAAATCTGATGCCCAAAATTTTCTGCCAAAAGTTAAAATAATGTATCCAGACGCAGTCATTTCTGAACCACCGATCGGCTTGACATTAGACTCTCTTGAAAACTCATACTTTGTTGAATCATGTGAAGAGATAGCCACTGATGAAGTGCCATCCTGTCTTATCAGCCTACATGGTTCCGATGATACTGATTGGAAGATATTCTTTCGATACAATGCTAATTTTATTGCTCCTTTATTATATTATAAACCAACCAAATGGTCGCTACTTTATAATCTGTTTGAGAAACTATACGATTTGGGAGCAAAAAAGGTTATATGTGATGGCAATCTTTACTGTGCTCATTTCGACTCTGCTTCTGATTATCAAGATGCTTTTGAAAAGCTACGTTCACGTTACCTCGAACCTTTAGAATCCGTGTACGCAGCAGAAACTCGCAAAAAGAGAGTGACAATGAAAATGAATCGATACTCTGGAATCCCTTGGTGTTTCAATGAAAAGCTCAACTTATCTTGTCTTGTGGTAAAAATTGAATCTCAGTTGCATGACTTTTTTATGGAGATCAGCAAAAGTACTTTAGGAAATCGTGAATGTATCTTCATCAAATCTATTCCAGGAGAAATTTGGATTGCTTTTCCTGATGAACTTATCTGTAAAGATTCTGAAAAAACAGTAAAAGGATTTTCAGCAAGTCTCAAGCTTGAAAATAATGTCTCAATGGCTAAACCTTCAAAGGAACTTCTGGAGTCCATCAATTTCCGAGATTTAGCTGGTGATGCTTATGATTTAGCATTTCTTTCGAGTCAACTTGGAAGCTTGAGTACAATTACAAGACCACACATCATAGAGCGAATAAGAATGCAACGAATGCAAGAATTCAATGGTTCAGTTTTCCACTTTACTGTTCATGGAAAATTCAGTAATAGGTGGTTTCTGCACGCATTACCACTCGAAATTATCATCAAAATTTTTGTTAAGTTTAGCAAAGTTATTCCACTCGCTGCCACAGCATCGTATGATAAAGTCCATTTTATGTATAATTCATGGCATGAAGCCCACGCCGCTAGTCATTTCATCGATAACTTGAGGCACGCTGAAGTTCCCTATTTTAAGGAGTTTGATGGAACAGGACCTGTCGAAGAGCAACAGTTGGACTGTTTAATCATCTCTGAGTATTATATCATCAATGACAAACGGAAGGTTCTCGATAAGATTGTACAAAACAAAAGTATGGTTGATAAATTAGATTCAAATTCATCTACAGTTCACTCGACGACAGATATTGAAGTAAAATTAGATGAAGAAATGAAAATGAAACTACAATATTTATTCGTTATAAAAACTCATTCTGGATTTAAATTCACATCTGAAATGATCACAATAGTCAAAATGAATTTGATACAAATGGATTGTCCAGTTTACATCGAATTTGTAGATAAAATTTGGGTTGCATTTGATGATTTAGAGAAAGGAAAAAAAGCAAAAGCTAGAATTGACCACATTAAGTTCAAAATGCTACATGAATATGAAGATGATTTTTATGTTGGAGTTCTAATGGAGTCTATCCAAAAAAGTCCATCAAATGTTACAAAAATGCTTGCAAATAAATTGATGAATCCAGTAACAAGTGCTAAGAATATATACTTGAATTCTGATGCTTATCCACTTGGACACTTCAATTACAGTTACAGAAAGGCAGTTGAAATGTCGACGAGCCGATATTGTCGATTAAATGGTTCTGTTCCATCTTAAAACATAAACAACTTTACCAACATTTTCGATATTTTAATATAAACTAAATTTTTTTTGTAATTATTATATTATACCTCTGGAAATAAAAATATTGAATAAACATAAACATGAGTTAAAAGACTGCAAGTCAAAGAAATGTGATTTAAATCGCATAGGGAGAGATTCAGTTTATGAGGAGTTTTCCTTCTTATGAGACACCATTAAGCTTTTAGTAACTTTTGACTTCGAAAGTCTTAACAGCGAGAGAAAGTATTATTCCGGGAATAAACCTGAATTCAATTTGACTTGGAATCTAAATTATAAAATTGATTTACCCAAATGGTATATTTGGCGTCTGGATTGAATATTTCCTTTTATGGACATCCGCAATTTTCCAACTCGTTCACTTGACTACACTACCTCCAACTACTTAATAATGCAATAACACAATACGATGATAAAAATGTGCCATTTTTCGTTAGGTTAACCTTTGAAACCTTTTATGTAACTTTTCATTCACAACTCTTTAACTTCCAATCTGATTTCAAATTACTTACTCCTTACCTCCAAAATCAATTAGAATGGAGTTTATTGAGAATAAAGCTAATCAAAAAAGCAGTAAGAATAACAATCAATGAGTATGGTTAGTCAGATGATTCAACGGGAAGCGTCCAGTTTATACTTCCAAGACGGAGACAATAGGTCAGAAGATCGATCAACAAAATCGAAGGATGACATCTAATTCATTAGATTTCGATAAGTAGGTTTATGTCCAATAACTGCAGTTGGACAGAAACATTCCCTTTGATAACATAATTGGGTAATTGTTTACAATGAAGGAGTTGAGACTTTTCCCGAGTGTCTTTACCATCCGAGTGCTGGCATCTATGTGAACTACAATTAAATTTTGAATTTTGAACAATGGGTCAAATCTGGTGCTTTCCCCTTTTAGATAAGAATGAAGAAACATCTGTTAAAAAAACAATGAATAGATCGTTTTTTCAATAGTGGTGTACGATATTGAAAAAAAATATTTATCGAAGAGCACAATATTATTGCAAGGAATATCGAATATATTGCAATATTAAAATCGAAGCAATATTTAGAAATAATATCTAATATCGACGAAATATCGCTACTTTTACAATATTTTCATAGTAACAAGTTGAGATTCACGGTCAGCTTGATTTATTGAATGAAATTTCTAGCAAGTTAATACAAAGAAATGACAAGTTAAAGGTCTAAAAATGCACAGAAAAAAGTAACACTTTAATTTCACTTCCGAGAAGTTTGAATTTGGCCATTAATTAACGTTTAAAAGCAAAAGTTTAGCTAATTTGAATATTCGATATATTGTAAAAAATATCGATAAATATCGAGAGAGAAATATCGAATATTATTGCTCAAACAATAATATTGGTACATCACTATTTTTCAATCAAAGCTTTCTTCTTTAATTAGTCAAATTAATTAAGTAGTGAATTTTTATAGTCAATTTATTAATAGCTGCAATGACTAAACCTTGTGCTGTGTTTTGGGACATTGAGAATATCGATGTACCAAAAGGACATACAGTTGCTTCCATCGTCAATCTAATTAGATCAGCTATAATTAAACCCTTCAATTTGGAGGAAATATTTTTCTTTTGTGTTTGTGAACATGAATTACCATCATATATTGGTCAGTCATTAACAGCTCTGGATGTGAATATTATTCAAGCTTATTATGGAGACAAGGATTCAGCTGATATTAAAATATTGGATTTGATACGAAAATTTGTTAAATTTTCTGGACAAGATTGTACAATTATATTTTTGAGTGATTATGCTGATTGTTACAGTACTCTGAGTGATGATGATAATTATGACCGCACTTTGAGTGATCTAAAGAAGCTTCATAATGTATCGATTCATTTGATTAGATTAGCTAATAAAACATGCTCATCTAACCTGGACCAGATAGCTGACTACACATTCATGTTAAATGATGATGTACTAAAGCCAGTATTAAAGCCAGTTAAATCAACTGGTTCACCAATGTACTTCATTTCAATCAAAAACTTTCCTCTAATATTCAACATCAATCAATTGATGGATCAATTAAATACTCAGACCATTGGAAGTATAGTAAACAGTGCCATCCTTTACAGTAAAACAATTTGTATCGTATTTCTTACGGGTTCTCGAGAAGATTGTACAAAACAAAATTCTGGTGGATAAACTAATAGTTTCAAATGGAACAGTTCAATCGACAGCAAATATTTGTGTATTAGAGGAAGAAATGACAAAGAAACTACAATATTTATTCGTTATTACAACAAATTCTGAATTTAAATTCACATCTGGAATGATCTCAATAATCAAATTGAATTTGGTTCAAAGGGATTGTCCAGTTTGCATTGAATTCGAAGATAAAATTTGGGTTGCATTTGATGATTTAGAGAAAGGAAAAAAAGTAAAAGCTAGAATTGATCACATCAAGTTCAAAATGCTACATGAATATGAAGATGATTTTGATGTTGGAGTTGTAATGGAGTCTATCCAAAAAAGTCCACCTGAAGTTACTAAAATGCTGGCAAATAAATTGATGAATCCAAAAAGAAGCGTTAGGAATGTATACTTGAATTCTGATGCTTATCCACTTGGACACTTTAACTACAGTTACAGAAAAGCAGTCGGTATGTCCATCAGCCGATATTGTCAATTAAATGATTCGTTTAAATGAAATTGCATTCAAAATACACCGTTCAACAGATGTAATCCGAATGAAATGCTTTTCTTTTTTTTGTTGATGTTAAAAATTATCTACAGAAAGACAAAAACACTTACGAAGTCGAATAAATTAAAATGGTTATTTATATTTTTTGATATGATAGCATTCAGCATATTCATCAATCAAAGTTGATCAGACTTTACCTCAAACTCATCAGTATTAAGAATACAATTATTGATGAAGTTGAACCGTCTCAATCAGCAGTTGTATCTAAAACAAATAAAAAACGGAATGGGTAGTTGTTTTACGAGCGAGATAAAGTTTGCCGTTCAATAATTACAGTTGGACAAAATCATTCTCCTGTAGTCTACTAAACTGATTTTGTTTTGTCTATCGATTGGATCAATGATAACATCATTTTGCTCCTTCTGTAACGTTGCTTTTCACACCAAGTTTCTTAATACAGCATAGAAAATAAAGTTGTACCATGTTTTTGGTATCTTCGCGCCAGCAACTTTAATTCAAAAACACAGTCTATCGCTAAAAAATTTTGAAAGGGATCCAAAATAATATGTGTTGAGAAGAAAAACCACGAACTGTAAGAAGCGGCGGCAATAGGTAGCACCTTTTCCAATAAAAAGAGAGGAATGGGTAGTGGATATATGGACGCCCTGAAGTGCAACTAGTTAAGCTTAACGGGAAGGTGAAAACCTAAGC